TTAATAAATGCATGTCGACTTATGTTTTCAATTTGACCGTAATTAAAAAAAAATTGTTTTTTTAATTATGATAATTAATAAGTGTGTTTTAACGAAAATTATAAATTCAAAAAAATTTGTGTAATATTTTTTTTAGTTAGATAAATAATAAGATAAAAAGTTTAGTTAAATTAAGAATTTAAAATATATATATTAACATTATTTAATTTTTATTATGAGTAAAAAAAGCTTTTTTTATAAAAAATTTCGTAACTAAAAAATAAAAAATATTGTAAATATTAAATTTTTAAACTCAAAGATGAAATCAATAAAATAAAAATAATCAAAATAACGAACCAAATTAAAAAAAATAAGTCTAACTTTTATAATAAGGGCTAAGGTAAAGATTATAACATTATCAAATTTTTTTTTTTGGAAGGTCATGAAGTTGCCTGCAGCTAGAATCATCTTTATTCAAATTTATTAAATATTATTTTTTAAAAATAATTATATGCATTAATTCAATTAAACTTTGAATTTGTAATATTATTTAAATTTGAAATTACTGACGAAACATCATTAATTAAAACACCCTTTTCAAGTCAATGAAGGCATCATAACTTGACTGGAGGGACACGTAATTTGCTTGATATATTCAAGTAATTCTCACTAGTGTTTATAAATTACTCCTCCATGACATCTCCTTATTAACTTACGTCGTAACAATTTTGAGATTGTCAAATGTAAATAAATTTTAAAATAAAAAAAATAAAAGTTATCATTAATTTTTATTAAGATATGATTAGTCATTCAAAAGTTTATTTTTTTAATAAAATTATAAAAACGGGTTTAAAATTTATCAAAAAGATAAATTTCGGTTTACAAAAAAATAGGTTGAGTTCGAAAGTCGATTACATGTAGAAAAAGATTAGTATCCCAACAACGCCCATAATTGGTTCCATTTAATTACGCGTTATTTTTTATATTGGATAAAAATAATTTTAATTTGAAATTTAACATTAATTTCTTTCATTTGAAAAAATAAAATTTTGCTAAAAATTTTTATTTAGAAATATTGAGAAAATCTTTAAGTTAAAAAATTATCTTAAAATTCTCTAACATCTAGACAGAATTTAAAATAACTCTTTTTGCTTAAGATTTAACACAATAATCCTTAAAATGAAATAACAATCTTTATAAAAAATAATTGTTAGTGATTCTCCAACATCTAGATAGAGTATCAAGAATTATTTCTTTCGAAATGTTATTTTTATTTTATTTTATAATATCACAAAAAAATTCTTTTTTAAAGTATTATTCTTTTTTTATTATAAAATATTTTATCATCAAACAGTAAATTAAAGAGAGAATAATGTAGACAATTATTGATGATAACATGCTAACGTATGTATGCTAATGAATGTCATGTAAAATGAAATGCAATTTAAAAGTTGAGTTCTTAAGTATAATGAGACCACCCCGACTCTCCAACATCTAGGCAGAGCTTAAGTGTGACTGTTTATATTTAAGATCTCAATTTATTATTATACTTTTTATTTATTAATCTTATTATTAATGTGAATTAAGAACTCGTGTGAAAAAAAATCATGTGTAATATTTTTTTTAGTTAGATAAATAATAAGATAAAAAGTTTAGTTAAATTAAGAATTTAAAATATATATATATACTAACAATTATTTAATTTTTATTATGAGTAAAAAAGCTTTTTTTATAAAAATTTAGTAACTAAAAAATAAAAAATATTGTAAATATTAAAATTTAAAATTTAAAATTTTAAACTCAAAGATGAAATCAATAAAATAAAAATAATCAAAATAATGAACCAAATTAAAAAAAAAAGTCTAATTTTTATATTAAGGGCTAAGGTAAAGACTATAACATTATCAAAAAAAAATTTTTTTGGAAGGTCATGACGTTACCTGCAGCTAGAATCATCTTTATTCAAATTTATTAAATATTATTTTTTAAAAATAATTATATACATTTGTCATAACATATAGATTCAAAAATTTATAGCTAGATTTAACAAATGAATGGAGTCGTCACCAATCTTTTATTAGGTGTGATTGATCACCTAGGAAATCTATTCTTTTAAAGAACTCCTAAGCTTAACTAAGGATCTCTAAAAGAATAGGTTCGGGTCTACTAACCAGAACAGGGTTCGAAAATTCGATTACATGTGGAGAAGGTTATAGCACCCCCGCATGCCTATCCCAATGATGGTACCATATTATTTCAAATTTATCCTAAGGTTTAGAGTCTAATGGTTTCAAATTTTATGTTAAATATTGAAAATAATTTTTAAGATTCTCCATCAATCTGGTAAAACTCTTAAAAAATATTTTCTCACCTCAAGAGTATTCAAAAGTCCCATTTGATGTCTTGAAGAGGCTCCGTCGTCGAAAAAAAATGTTATTTTTTTATTTTTTATTAAAAATAAATCGAATTATTCCACCATGGTCAAATTAAAATATTTTTCTTTTGAATTTCTAAAACTATACCATTGCGTCTATTTAGAATTTTCTTTTTCTCTTTTTCCTGGAAGAAAATATATGACAATTATTTTTATTGGAAATTTCATATAAATTATTGCACCATTTGTGTCAAATTTAAAGAAATTTTTCACCTAGAGATTTCTTAAAAATTTACCATTTGAATTTCTAAGAATTTCATCTTTAGATAATTATCAAATATTTTCAATCCAAATTTTTATTGTGGAAAAGAATACAATTACTTGTATTGATAATTTCATCTAAATCATTCTACCCATTTGGACCAAATTTAGAGGAAATTTCTAAACTAAAGATTTTTAAGGAATTTATCATTTGAAATTTTTAAAAATCTCATCTTTGGGTAATTTGTATTGAATTCTCAAAAAAATTTTACATTTTTATGCTTTTTATATTTTTAATTTTTTGTTTGAAAATAAATATCAATTATTGTTATTGAAATTTTATCTATATTATTCCACCATTTATGATAAATCTAGACAAAATTTCTCACCTAGAAATTTTATAAAAATTTTCATTTGAAATTTTTATAAATTTCATCATTAGATAATTAATATTTATTCCCAACATTTTTATTTTTATTATTTTATTTTATTTTATTTTGATAAAATAAAAAAAGTGAAACAAATAAATAAAATAAAATAAATACAAAAATTCAAAAACGTCTCGGCTTAGGTTTGGGATACGGCTCGGCTTAAGAAAAAAATCACGGCTCAGATACGCGGCTCGAATCTCAGCTCGGCTCGACTTAGCTGGAACCCAGGCGGAGAAACAGGTCACTGGGTCGGATCTTGACAAAACGCACGGATTCTGTGAGTTTACTAACACAAAAATGATGTCTTTTTTGAGAGGGTATATAAGACTGAAGATCGATTTTTTTTCAGAATTCCTTTCCCATTCTCTCTCTTCCCTTCTTTTCTTCTCTTTCTCTCTAAACAATTTCAGATTCCAATTGAATTCATATCGGAATCTGGAAAAAGTCACCGAAATCTTCAAATCTAGTCGAAAAATTTAAAATTCGTCGAAAAATTTCACAGAATTCTTGAAATTTTTCAAAAAAAGAACTCCAAAAATTAAAAAAAAAAAACTTCTAAAAATCCTATACTGCCTCTAAACACTTTTTGCTTATGTTTCACCTCTTTGTTTTCTTTTTTTTTGTGTTCCTTATGTGTGATTTATGGACATATTTATAAGGATTGATCAAAAGAGTTTCTGATCAATCTTAATCCTTTTGGGATTTGGATTCAATCTTTGAATCTAATCTCAACTTTGTCAATTTTCAAATCACGGCCAAATTCATTTTAATTTTTTTATCTTAATATTAATCTTAACCGAAAATTAATCAAAATAAAAAAGATAAATATATTAATAGATAAAAAAATAATTAGATAAATAAAAAAATAGATAAATAATAATAATAAAAAATAAAAGTAGATAAATAATAAAAATATTAATAGATAAACAAATAAGAATATATATTAATAAATAAACAAATAATAAAATAAAAATAAAATAAAAATAAAAATCAATTGGACCTATTAATTAGATCTTGAATCAAATCTAATAAGTTTAAACTCAAATCCTATTCGATCGGATCCGATAACCTTAAACCTGGAGCAAATAGGATATCTACAACATTAATTCACTTAAACTTTGAATTTGTAATGTTATTTAAATTTGAAATTACCGACGAAACATCATTAATTAAAACACCCTTTTCAAGTCAATGAAGGCATCATAACTTGACTGGAGGGACACGTAATTTGCTTGATATATTCAAGTAATTCTCACTAGTGTTTATAAATTACTCCTCAATGACATCTCCTGTTTACCTTAAAGTTTGTTAAGAACGAATTATTAATAATTATCATCCAATTAAGTTACTGATAGCCATCTATTATTGACCGTCACTTCATTAATTAAAAATTTGGAATTATTGGACCCACCACGTTTGTTTTCTACCAGAAATTAGAGAAGTGGGAAAAAGAGAGTCAATGAAAAAGCCGTGGAAGTGTTAGAAAATTTTGTTACGTGTAAAAAAAAAAAAACCCTTCATCATTTCTGTAATTACTTTATGTATAACTTGTGATTGAATTAGAAAATTGGGTACGGAATCTTTTCAATTTATAAATTTTGAATCAAAATGTTTAAAAAAGATGTGAGATTATTTGGATGAATTTATTGGAAATAGTTTTAAAAAATATCATTTGATTGATAATTGTATAATTTATTGATAAAAAATTAAAATTTTAATATAAAAAATATCTTTGATATGTTGAATTTTTAATATAGTAATTAGAATTTGAATATGAAATTTCAAAGTCTAAGAAACAAAATTAAAGAAGAGAGATCTGATTTATTAAAAATACTATATCTCTTATATAATTCAAGTCTAATAAATTTTCTCGTATACTCGAAAAAAGTAAACAGAACTCAATTTTTTTTTTTTTTTTTTTTTTTTTTTTTTTATAGTGTGAAACCAATGCTCATTAAAAAAAAAAAGAAAACAGTTTTACTTTTGGTGATTATATAGAGAAATGGATTGGCCGGCTAAATCAAGCGTTGAAAATTCGGGCACGCTAAAATAGTCGTTTTCTTTGTTGGAGATACAGCTGGAGAAGGCAGGCGAGGTGGGAATGCAGCAAGAGCCTAAGGAAACTAGAATGATACTATAACTCCTGACTGTTTCTCACACCTACTTCAACCAAATCCAACCATCACAACTTTTAACTCAATTTCATACCAAAAAATTTTTCATTTTCTCTCGTATCCAAGCTCTCCTTACGTCCTCTTAACTTAAGGTAGATTATATCAGTTTACTGTTTTTTGGGTTTTTCAGTTTCTTCTTTGATCGTTTTGACTTTAGTGAGATGATGGTGATGATGAGCGGTTTTGTTTAGGCTTTTTGAAGTGATCAAACTTCATTTAAGTTAAAAACCTTTTTTTTTTTGTTGATTTGATCTGAATATACGTGCAAACGAGAGCTTAGTAAGTGTTTTAGTAAAATTCATTACTACTTTGATACTTAATTTTATGATTTTTTATGGTTACAGAAGGCGTAAATGATTAGATTTGGGAGAGTTTAGTTTGGAGTAAGGTATTGCAGAGAAAGACATGAGTTGCGGTTGTTTTGGTAGATCAGCTACCAACCGGAAACGGAGCACTGCTCAGGCCACGGACGGTATTGACGGTGAGGATTCTCTTAAAACTTTTTTTAAAGTTTTCTTTTAGAATCTTATATAAATTTTAGAACTTTTAAAGTCATTCGATTTGGATTTATTGCATGTTCAAGTCTTGGTTTTTTTTTTGAAGTATTGTACTTGATTTGGTTTGTTCTGTAAATTAATTGTCTTTTGGTTTTGGGCAAGTTGGCAGAACAATTGCTTAGGAGAGTAAACCATTTCTCATACAATCAACTAAGCTCAGCGACAGATGATTTTCATTCAAGCAACAAAATAGGACGTGGAGGTTTCGGAACCGTTTACAAGGTGCTTTAAATTTATCTGATGCTTATGTAGCTAATCACATATATAGAATTAATTGGCTAGTCAATTCTACTAGGGGACAGTTTGAACATTTGATGCTGGGATGTTTATGTTTGAAGCAACTGTTGTAAATATATGAAAATATTTCCTTAAACTAGAAGGCCAAGGATTTTCCTTAAATATAGTTCCTCTGTTGGGAGGAACTATTTCTTTTGATGGAGTAATAACTAACTATAATATTGCAATGTTGCTAGGGAGCTCTGAAAGATGGAACTGAAGTTGCTGTGAAGACACTTGCTGCCCAATCAAAGCAGGGAGTGAGTGAATTTTTGACAGAGATCAATACTATATCAAATGTCAAGCACCCAAACCTTGTTGAGCTGATTGGATGCTGTGTTCATGGCACGAATCGGATATTGGTCTATGAATATGTGGAAAATAAGAGTCTTGATAAAGTTTTGTTAGGTAATATATGGTCCTGAAGTTTTTGTTTGAATGCCCTGCCTCCAAAGAGGAGGTCTCCAGTTTAAATGACCTCGCCACAAAAAAAAAAAAAAAAAGGAATTATAAGATATATAAACATTATTTTTTGTTTATGCGTCAACGTGAATACAGGGGAAGACTGAAATACCATTTTTGATTCCTTGCTTTTGCAGATCAAAGGAGTACAAATATCAAACTTGACTGGAGCAAAAGATCTGCTATTTGCATTGGTATTGCCAGGGGTCTTGCATTCCTTCATGAAGAACTTGTACCGCATATAGTCCATAGAGATATCAAATCTAGTAACATCCTTCTTGACGAAGACTTTAACCCCAAAATTGGAGACTTTGGGTTGGCTAAACTTTTTCCAGATAACATCACTCACATTAGCACCAAAATAGCGGGAACAACGTATGTCACTTCTTTCTTTCCTCTTGTTCAACATTAAAGAAATTTTCTGCTGCGTTCTCCTTTGAAGCTTTCTGTGCTGTCATAGAGTATAGACTCCTTAAAGAAATTATACTCTAGGTAGAAGACAAAGATCCCAATCAACTTAATGATTGTATTTGGAATTCAAGATGTTCATAGTTGATGTTTAAGGAGCACGCCTTTGGCAGCTTAAAGGAGATACTCAGTCCGCACCATTGGATACAAGTGAACAAAGCCCTGGAGAGAAACAACAAATACTGTAAACATGATAAAGCAGAAGAAAAATTTATTGTTAGTAAGAAAATAGAATGTGCATTTGATTTATATGGTTTCTTGGTAATCATATATATTGTAGGTATGTAGCTGAATTCGTGCTTGATGTCAAAGAAGATAAACTATAGTAGGAAGCAGGAAAATATGAGCTATAAAATCATCAAACATGATAGAGTTCGGGCCAAGTTACCATAATAGGAATAATCAGCATTTTAGCCACTGACTACGTGAAAAAACGCTGCACATGAGATAGGAGTTTTCCTTAAGGTTTTTGTTTTATATAATGAGTGGAAAGGAAATGGAAATGACTCGTGCTTGCTTTGTTCTATGCAGTGGTTATTTGGCCCCGGAATATGCTTTGGGTGGTCAGTTAACCATGAAGGCTGATGTTTATAGTTTCGGTGTCCTTGTACTCGAAATAATTAGTGGCAGAAGTAGCTCCAAGGCAAACTGGGGAGGCATGGAGAAGTTGCTCTTGGAATGGGTACGCATTTATTTTTGTATATGATAATTCTACAATTTTCTTTGTAGCTTCACTTCTTATCATTCTTCAACAAGTTCAGCACATGAATATCCTCTTATTCAACATTAACATCTCGTTGCCATCTCATACCATCCACAACCATCGTTTGCTATACCAGGCATGGGAGCTCTATGAAGAATGCAAACTCATAGAGCTCGTGGATCCTGAGCTCGGAGAATTCCCAGAGGAAGAAGTCCTTAAGTACATGAAAGTAGCGTTTTTCTGCACCCAAGCAGCAGCCAACCGAAGGCCATTAATGAGCCAGGTTATTGAAATGCTTGCAAGGAACATTAGGATCAACGAGAAAGTACTCACAGCTCCAGGATTCTTTCAAGACGGAGAGGCATCAAGTAAAAAGTCAATCCAATCATCTGGTGAATCAACCAGCTATCAGATGAGTTCTGTTCCTGTCACAATCACTCAGGTAACCCCCAGATGAAGATCCAAATACAAAATTTTTTTGGGTATGACACTTTTCATTCTTTTTGACAGAGAAGAGAAAGAAGTTAAAAGCCCCAGTTTTAAACTTAATTCTGGGTGTTGCGTAATGCATGCCATTACTTTTATTTATGTAATTTTGCAGTTTTTTTTTTGTTATTTTTTTTAATTTATAAAAAAGAAAGGGAAATTTTATGTAATTTTGCAGTTTTTTTTGTTATTTTTTAAAAAATTTATACAGAAGAAAGGGAAAATTTTAGTGGAAGGAATCTGTCACTCACTGGACAAGGAAGTTTAAAAGTTTTGTTTGTGATTTGCTTTCTTTACAGTAAACACCGAAATCGAGTGGAACTACGAGCCACACCGGAATTCTGATTGAAAATCTCAATAGCAATTCCCACCGATGTCTCCACATACACGAGATGGTCCCAACTCCAGAGGAGCACTTTCGCTTGAATAACAAGTGCAAAACTTCTCCTATTTTGATGTCAACGCCGTTTTGTTTGAATAAAAAAAAAAAAAAAGCAGAAAGAAAAACCCTAAGACAGTAATACTACAACAGAAAAGTAAAAATATTGTTTGGCAAGAACGCAAATGCTAATCGAACTAGACTGATTGCGTTTGCTAGTTGCTACAGCTCAAAATCCATTTAGACCAATTCTTAAGCATGTCCTTTTGAATATCAACAAAACCACCGTTGACTGATGCTGTAAAACGAGTACAAATGTCATTTAGCGACCAAATAATCAGACAAATTTTGGTACAAGTAACACGGTAAGTCCAAAGTTAATTCAGTAAGAAAATAAAGCGAGGACATTTGAAATCCAATCTCATGAAATATTTGAAAAAAAAATTACGAATAGGGTTCAGTAGAACTAATGGTACTAAATCCTTAAGAAGAAATACCATGGTAATATGTAATGCAATAAAACATCAAAATCATGAGGAAAACAAAAAGAATGGGGCAAGAAAAAATCATGGTAAATGTATCGTAAGCAATTAGGCTGTTGATGTTGCCTCTGGTTCTGCAGCAGGTTGGTCCTTAGCAACAGTAGTATCTTGTTCAGGAGTGGAACCATTTGCAGCGGCATCTTTTGCAGATGAAGCAGGTGCCCCTTTCTCAGTAGATGCAGTTCCATTTGAAGCAGCATCTTTTCCATCTTTAGCATCCTTTGCTGGAGCAGGTGGGGGTGGAATCATGTGAGGTGGGGGTGCATGCTTCAGCTTCACAAGAATGTGCCGCATTCTTGATAGATCAGTTGGTTTTCCAGGCTTTGGTCCCTGGATGACACTTATTGATGGCTTCTTCTCTTGATCCTTCTTGCCTCTTTTCTTCTCGATATTAGGGACCTCACGAGGAATTAGTTCTGCTATTGCAGTCCAGTACTGTTTGTCTGCAGTCTTATGGAACTTCTCTTGGTTAGCCAAGTACAGCTGCTCCAAGCCCAAAATATAAAGTGTTAAGATATAGAAGCATGTGCATCTGCATGGATAAGACAATTTGTTGGAAATATTACCTTTTCTCTTTCTCTGTTATTAGTTTTGTTGGTCTCAATGGTTTTTTCCCTCTTCTCATAGAATGCTCGCTTGTACTCCTCAGCTTCTTCAATAATCTGGTTCCTCAACTCCTTCTCCTTCTTCTCCTTCTCCTCAAGCAGAATAGCATTTTGACTGCAGCAACAAAATGAATATCAACAATTAAACTTTTTGGCTGGCAAATAAAAAGTAATGGAATGCGCATATATAAAGAGAAAGAAAAGAACAGCTTCATATAAACACCTAGAATAAATACACGAAGTAACCACCTCTAAAAAAACAGCATATTTAGAGCTAATATAATAGAACTTATTTCAAATAAAAAAGCAAATATTGCAAAAACAGCCAAAGATGCAATCAAAATTATCTTTGACATACGATAAACTACTCAAATTTATTGATCTTTTGAAAACAAACTCAACCAAAAATTAGGGAAAAAAAAAGAAAGTTGTAGAGTTCAGTAATGTCATTAAACTATCATGCCAGTCAGCTATGAAAAAATTCTGCAATAAATGAATGTGACATAAAGCACTTGAGAAATTTCATGGATCAGATTTACAAACAAGTAACTATAACTGCTGAATTCATTCCGTGGCATTGTCACTGACACTAAAGTCAAAAGGTTCAAAGCAAAGGATTGCAAAACTTAAATGCTATTACAAATATGAGAATATCCTCACAGTCTACAATAAACAAGGTAATTATTGAATGTTCATCTCAGCATTGTCATTGTGAAATAAAGAGCAAAGCACTCCATCTTCATCTAGCATAAACTGGAACATAACAAGTCATTTCAACCTCCATCAGGAAATCAAAGGGGTGCACTGCCCCTTCCTACTATAAAAGGCGTTTAAAAATGTTTTTTACAGACACAGCTACCTCAGGCCTGTGAAGCATCTTTCTCATACCATGGAGGTAACTCTACAATAATACAAATGATCTTTCAAAAGACAATGATGTCTATATTAAAGCCCTGGCAACCGTCATAAGATTATACACTATTAAAAACTATTCAAACATCTCCTGATTGAAGTTCAATGTGGATCTGGATCTTCTACATCAATTATTACAAAGATCTAACCGTCAATGAAATCATAAAAGTCACGACTACATTCAAAAAGTTTCCTAAGTTGTTCATCACAGCTAATGAATACTCATGGATTACAATGAGGCGAACAATCAATTAAGACTAATATAAATTGAACAAAAACTTCAATCAATTCCTTAACAAGAGAGATCAACAGATTTGAACTTCATAAGTAACATAAATGAAACAAAAAACCAAGAAGCTAATGGCCGGAATAGTTAAAACCATGGCAGATCTAAAAATACGAAAGGATCAGTAACAAATATGAATTACAGTTAATCTTAGTTCAACCAATGCAACAGCAAAATTTACATAGCCGACTCAAAAGCACTGCAGATCTAAGCTAATAAGAATTGCTAAACAAACAGATCTGGTCAAATCCACACAACAAAAGTCAACAAATCAAGCGATTCAGTTTTAAACAAAAGGAAATTACTACTACTCACCGCCGCCACTCGCGAAGAGCGAAGCCTTCTTCAGGTTCCATCTCAGTTGGAGGAGGAAGCACTGGTCCATCAGAAGCAAAGACGTCGTCGTTCCCAACACCAAATCCATTGGTTCCATTTCCGTTCTCGACATGAATCGAAGGACCGAAAGGAGATTGCGAGTAAGCAGGGGTTGGATCGGAAGATCCGAAGCCGAAGATATCAGGAGAGGAATTCACATGATCCACTGCCACGTCACCACCATCCGCCGGGAATTGTTGGTTGTCGGTGAAGTTGGAGTAAGAGCCGTAATTGGAGTAGCTATCGTCGTCGACTTCGAAGGGATGGTCATTTGGAGCAGCGTGAATCTCTTCTCCGTCCATTCCGTACGCATCAAAGGACGCCATGTTTCTCTGAGAAAGTAATAGAGAGAGAGGGGTTTGCCTTCTTCCGAGTTTCCTTTCGGTTTCTTTATTTTTGACCTTTTATATTCCGAACGGTGACGGGAAGACAATGATTTTTGAAATTACCAGTTAATCCTTCGAATTCGATAAACAGTTGAACGACGTTGTTTCGGGTATTTTCGGTGGCCTAATGTTTTCACCGTAGGAAAAACGTCAGTCTATCGGTCAGCTAGTGGTGACTTGTCATTATCCAGGTGTTTTTTTATTTATTTTTATTTTATCTTAAGCTTTTTAATTTCTAATATTGCAAATTGATTTTCCATCCAAAGGAAGAGAAATCATAGAAAAAAATTGTGACGAACCAAATCTCGTGTTAATAAGAGATTTCTTGAGAGGAATTTTAAAAAATAATAATAATAAAAAAGGCAAAAGCAATATTTTTTAATGGCGCAGCTAACACAAAGGTCCTCTCAAGAAGCCAACATCTTTGATTGTCATATGTAGATAAAGAGAGATGTGGATGAGTATACAAAGGTCCTGAATGACAGTCAGATGAATGACAGTCAGATGGAAGGAAAAAAAAGTGTGAATAAGCAAAAGCAAGAAAAATGAGGGGCTGTAAATGAAGGGTGGATTAAAATCAATTGTGAAGGGGCTTATGACAGAAAGACGCTACAGGCAGGGATTGGGGTGGTTAGTAGAAATGCTGACAAAGAGATGGTGGAAGGATGTAGCAAGGAAGTTCTAGCTGACTCGGCTTCGGTAGTTGAAGCACTCACCATGAGAGAAGGGGTTAAGTTGGCAAAGGAGTTGGGTTTTAGCAAGGTAATGACTTAGACAAATTCAAAGGTGTTAAACAGGGAAGCAGAAATACAAATCGTGATCGTGTTTTCAATCATGATAATGTTTATTCGTTATAGATATAACGAATAAAATAACAAAAATCATGTTTATCGTGATCGTAAATTTTTTTTTTTTAATTTTGAATAACTTATCATAAAATGAAATAAATAATAAATATAAATATGCTTATGATATTTAAAGTAATTTATAATATTTTAATTCTTTAATGTATATATTAAAATAAATATTTTAAATTTTTTAGTTTTGAGTTATAAATCAATATACATATCTAAAATATTTTATCATTAATATATCAATGAATTTTATCGGTATAAATGCTGAATATGATTGATGATAAATTATTATTATGAAATTAATATTATAAATTAATCTAATTAAAAAGAATAATAATGAACATTCAAATATTTTTAAGTATAATTATTAAGGTAAATGGATTAAAATCTAATTAGGTATAAAAAATTATAATAAATATACTTAATAATATTAAATTTTTATTATAAAATTATTTTTTAGATAATTAAAAATTAAATTAACTATTTAACAACTAACAACTCTATTAAATTTTTATCCAAATCATAAAGAAAAATTCAAATACCCATTTTTCAAAAAGTAAAAGAAAGAAATGGCCAAAATAAAAAATAAAAACCAATTTATACTAACATTAACCTTTTTATTGTCTTTCCCTCTCTGTTCACTTTGCTTCTCCATCCTAAAATAGAGTCATCCATGACCTTATCCAACCTCTCTCTTGTCTTTCCCTTAAGCGATTTCAATTCTCTCCCTTCCATTGGATTGATTTGGGAGCTGTTTGTAATTATTTTATGGGATCACACAGTTATTAAGTTATTGAACCCAAGGATCTCATAGGTTGATGAAATGGATTTGGCGGTTTGAAGGTTGGTTCCCTTATTGGCACTTTATCTTTATACTGCCTCTGTTCTGATTATTTTGATTAAAGTTTAAATTTAACTCAATAGTTTGGACTTGGGGCATGGTTTTCTTACCATTTTGGAATGGTTTTTCATTTTATTTGATAAAAGAAAAACGTAAATAACGACTTTAACATCTTGTTATAATCGTATTTTTTCATTGTGCCATTATTTACAACCATAAACAGCCATTCTAAGTGTGATTATAGTCACACCCCCATCACAGGTGAATAACGGAAACGGTAGACAGTGCTACCATTAAATAATGACCATTATACCATGTTGCAAGCGCTATTTAAAACCTTGCAAGAAAGTGAATAAGGGGAAAATGGTAAACTGGAAAGTAAGATTCTGTGCCTTAAATGAACTCTATTAATTTCCTTATTTACAATAGCTTGTAGCATTGTTATATTGATTATTGTTTCTATATTGGTTATGTTAGTTGTGATGTTAGTTAGAGATGGTTATAATAATTATGATAATAATCAGTGGATATATATAAGAACCATAGGACAATTAGAAAATGATATAAAAAAATAGAATAAAAAACTCTTTTTTTATTGCTTGCCTTTTTTCCTTTCTATTAGTTTTCTTCCATTATAGTTCATCCCTTCTTAAAGGTAGTTTATCTCTTCTTTAACCTTTTTTTTCCACCTTTGATCACCAAGCTTGGATCCAGGTATTATACTTGTGTACCTGGCAACAATGGCAGATAATATTACAAAAAGATTGCAATAAGACATTCTTCAATTACAAATGAAGATGCAACAAATTGACAAACAAATTGAAGATAAAACCAATGAATTTAGAAAGGAATGAAAAGAAGAGTTTAAAAATTTGTTTGATCTGCTAGCTAACCTAGCAGAAGATTGTTAAAAAGATAAGGATATGGCCACTCTTTCCTTGGTGCAAGGGAGCCCATCATTAAATAATCACACTTAAGTAATATCTTTCCTATATGATAACTTTAGACAATTTAAACTTAAATGTCCAAGGTTTAATAGAGAAGATTTTAAAGGTTGATTCATGAAATTGTAGCAATACTTTAAGGTTAAAAAGGTGCTTGCTACATCTAGAGTTAGGGTTGTAATGCTTAGTTTGGATAATAAGGCATTGCAATAGCACCAACATTATTGTAAGATACTAAGTGGATTTGATAGATTGAATTGAGAAACTTATATAATCGAGATGCTAGATAAGATTATCTTTAGAGAATATGAAAATCCAATGGCAGAGCTATGTAAAACAATATTATGATGATTTCATGAGTATACTCTAAGAAAATAAGTATTTAGTAGTAGTTTTTTAATGGCATTTCTAAATATATACCCCAAGGTTTTTTGTTTTTATAAAGTTAGTGATGTATGTTTATAAAACACAACTAAATTCTTATATTGCGAGGTTTATGTCTAGAAACATTAGTAAAAACATACTTTTGTGGTGTTTGTTAACTTAAATGTCCTAATAAAATTATCAAAATTTATTAAATATAAAATATAATTTTCTTTAAAAGAAATGTTTTAATGGCATTTTTATAAAGAAATGTCGCTATATGCCTTGACTTTTATAAATTTCGCAGCATTTAAATGTTGCTAAATAGTTTCTACAAACAAAAAATGTAAGGTTTTATTCTTATATAATGGTGTTTTTACTTAAAAATGCCACTTAAGGTAAGAAAGTTAATGGCATTTCTTTTAAAAAATGCCGCAATAAAATTATCAAAGTTTATTAAATATAAAATATAATTTTTTCTAAAAAGAAATGTTTTAGTGGTGTTTTTATTAAGAAAAGACGTTATATGCCTTGATTTTTATAAATTTTACGGTGTTTACATTATAAATAGTTTCTTTTAACTACAAACATACCATTTTGTTCTTGTATAATGATGTTTTTAAGTAAAACACCGCTAAAGGTAAGAAAAGTCAGTGACATTTCATTAAAAAAAGGCTGTTAAATTTTCTTTTAATTTCAAACACCAAACTTCTATTTTGTCATTTCTACTTTTCTTTCCTCTTTCACTTTTTCCTATTTCTGATCGTTTTGGTTGATTTTTTCATATTTTTCGCTAAGTCTGCTAAGTTTCGATCATTTTTTGATCAAATTTCCTCTCATTTTCTTCTGTTTCTACAAAGTTCAATTTAGCTTTCTTATATTTTGGGTCGAATCCCTAAAGTTCCTATATGATTTCTTGCATTTCTACCATTGTTCAAGCTTCATTGATAAGCTTCATTTCAACATTGGTAATTTATGTTCATTCCCATGTTTTCTTAAACCCATTTCTTTACACCTTGCTTTTTAGTTAGCCCACCGTTAGTGAAACAAAATTATGGTTTTATGCAAACTTTTAGCACTTAAAAATTCAAGATACAGGGAACTGTTTTTACCTTGTAGTAGTTTTTTTTTTCACTTGTTTTAGCTTTTGTCTCATTCACTGCTCTCCTTCGATTAAATCTGGCAATTTCATATATGACATGTAATATAACACAAAAACAATATAAAAAAACACGAAGATAACATGATTTAAAATTTTAACAAAAATCATAAATAGTTTTAATAAAATCAAAAAAATATATTTCATATTTTTGTGTCGACATGAATTGTGATATACAATTTTCATGTAAAATATGGCACGCATGCATGAATTTTTAGTATTTTACATATGGATGACAACGGGTTGAGTCGAGAGGTTTTTGCTCACCTCGAACTTGACTCGACTATATACATATAATACTCGAACCTGATCTGACCTAATTTTTTTTTAAATTTTTTTCATACTCAAACTCGACTCGACCTAACATTAAATAAAATCATATCCAACCTGACTCGAAATTAACAAAATATTATTTTTTAAATATAAAATATTATTTTTAATATAAATATAAAAATAAATAAATAAATAAAAATATAAAATTAATTAATTAAAAAATAATTTATATATATCGAGTTTGATAGGGTTGAGTTTGCCTAAGACCTAACTTCAATTTTTTTCTTTTATCACCCAACCTGACCCGATACTTGATTTAAAAAAAATTGATCCTAAAAGATAGGATCAGGTCAAAACCTGTCGAATACGAGTCAAACTACCTTCCCTAATTTTACACGATATGAATATACGAATTGCTAGGTCTACCCTTGGTGCTCTCTATTCTGCAGCTCCTTTCTCTTCGAGTAATTTCTACGGTTCCTCTTTTTCTACTAATTATAATTCTTGTTTGCTATAAATACCCATTAATTAAAAGCCTTTGCTTTGATTTGTTACTCTTTTTTTTTTTTTTTGGTTTTGGTCTTCTTTGATTTTATGATTTATTATATGAAT